TCTCTGTCCCAAGCAATACTTAAACCCATCTCAAGTAATTAAGAACATTTCAGGGTTCTACATATCACTGTGAGAACTTTGCCATGAACCCATAAAGTGTTAATTGAGAGAACTCTCAAACAGGCATTCATGGATTTGTCACCTAAGGCAACTAAGTAATTAAAAAGGTGAGGATCTCACTGATAAAATTGGTTGCCTATGGGATAGGGGACTGGGTGGCAAGAGCACAGAAGTGAGAAGGATGATTTTCCTGTATAGTCTTTAGTATCTTTTGAATTCTGAACCATGTGAATTTACTGCCTCCTTAAAAATAAACAAAAATTTAGGCTGGGCACCACAGCTCAGGAATTTGAGGTTACAGTGAGCTATGATGATGCCACTGCACTCCATCCTGGACAACAGAGCGAGAATATATCTCAAAAAAAAAAAAAAGGAAAAAGTAAAAAATTTTATACCATTCAAGTCACAATATTTGGGGGTCTCAGGGAAGGGCCACAAAGACATAAGAGGGCAAATATAAACTAGAACTGGGAAGATGGGGGGAGCAAACAAAATATAATTTATTAATAGTGAAATTTGTTTTTATATTCTTAAGTAAAAAATTTTAATACTTCCTCTGTATTTATATTACATTATACTGTGTTCTTTGATGTTTTGCTTATGGGAAATATCAAAATGTCAACCATTGTTTCTATTAAAGGTCTTTAATGATATTGCATTTTAGACCTATAATGAAACACGGTGCTCACTGCAGTTTGTAATGCATCTCATTAAATACATTAATAACATGCATTTCACTAAAAGGTCAACTTATTATGGGTGAAGTTTAGCTTTCCTTTAATCACTTCATTTAAAGCTATGGAGCAAACTCTAAAAAAGACAATAGAGAGGTCCTGTTACAGAAATGCTCTCTCAATTCTCCCAACCATCCAAATCAGTTATGCTTATTAAGAAATAATTGTTAGTGTTTTTATGTGGGATAATGGTATTATGATTTTTTAAAAGATCCTTATCTTTTAGACATACATGTTGAAAGATTTACTGATAAAATGAAAGAATGTCTATTATCTGCTTCAAAACAGAAGGGCAGGGAGTTAGTATAACTAGAAGACTGGCAGCCAGGCATGGTGGTTCACACCAGTAATCCTAGCATTTTGGGAGGCCAAGGCAGGAGGATTGCTTGAGGTCAGGAGTTCGAGACCAGCATGGGCAAGACAAGACCCGGTCTCTACAAAAAAATAGAAAAATTAGCCTGCCCTGGTGGCGTGCACCTGTAGTCCCAGTTACTAGGGAGGCTGAGGCACGAGGATTACTTGAGCCCAGGAGTTTGAGGATGCAATTGAACTATGATGATGCCACTACACTCTAGCCTGGGCATGACAGAGCCAGATCCCATCTCAAAAAAAAAAAAAAAAAAAGAAAAAGAAGAAAGATTGGCCATGAGTTGATCACTGCTTAAGCTGGTGAAGGTATATGGGGGTTCATTGTACTATTCTCTCTACTTTTTTTTCTTTTTCTTTCTTTTTTTAACAGATTCAGACTGAAATATTCTCTCTACTTTTATATTGGTTTGATACATTCCATAATGAAAAATTTTAAATAACTCAGGCTGAAATTTCCTTAAGTAACTTGCTTTCTTCCTTACATATCATTGACACCAACATAAAAGGCTCACCTCCTAACACTGCAGAGCATTTCAGAAGAAAGAGAGAAAAAGCAAACCTCTTTAGAGAAATGGTTTATGCACAGAAAATCCCTTAATTTTGTTAAGGTTACTTCATGACTTACCATTCATGCAGCCACTGAAATATCAACAGATTTCTCTGAAATCACTTCACAATTCAAGAGTTTAAATTACCAGTATATAACACTTAGGTGATCGGGGACTAAATTTATGTGTATAGGGTGGCGAGGAAGATTTAGTTTCTGAAAAGTAGAGTTTAGGGTGCTGAATGTACAAAGGCATGGCGCTCAGGAGTTTACTGTGGCGAGAATATAGCTGGAAATCTGCTATTTTAGAGGCAGAAGTTAGAGCTATGAGATCAAATGACAGTGTCAAGGAGAGAATACATATAGAGAAAACACAACCTGAGGACAGGACTCTAAATGCAATGAAATTTATATTGAAAGTATAAAAGAAGAGCCTGAGAATGGGAGAGATTTGAAATGCAGGAAAACCCAAATAACATATGTAGTGGCACCAAAGCCAAAGAAAAGTATTTCAAGGAAAGGTTAAATGCTTCAGGAAGGCAGTAGTGGGGTTTGACAATAAGGAAATCTGTAGCCACTTTTCCATAGTGTCATAAGAGGCTGAACCTGAATTATAAGTATTAGTAGATTGTAACACTACCCATTTTCCAGAACAAATAGTTAGTATGAATTCTACAGGGAATCAGAATACTAATAAAAAAAAAAAACACAAAAGACAGTGGGGATGATGGTTACTTACACTAATAACAATGAAATGAACATTCCTTGTTCATATGGTTGAACGCTGCCAAAAGCCTCTTTCAGCGGAAAAAGATACCCATACCTAACATTTATGGCATGATGTGTGCCAGACACTGTGCTAATGCTTTATATTGATTACGTTCTTTAATCCTCACAACCATATTATCCCCATTTTACTGTGAAGTTGAGTAATTAGCCCAAGGTCACATTGCTAATCCATTGCTGAGATGAAATCTAAACCCAGGCAGTCTGACTTTAACTACTCTGTAAGACCAAGTAAATTGAAAAGAGATTTAATTAAAGACAATAAGTTCTATTAATAGTTTGTTCTAGGCTTGGTACAAATTCAGCCTGTGTTGCACACCAGCCATATAGCACAGTATATATTTGTCATCCAGAGTAATGTAGCTGAGAAATTTTTCTTAAATTACATTTGACAAGACAGGCAAGTACATACAACATATTATTTCATGTTGCCAAAAGAAAATTGAAACAAACAAAAATTAGCTACCCTTCTGATGCACAGAAATTCTGGTTATTAGAGAATTCACTATCCTCCCATCTTTGAATATGTGATACCAAACATATCACATGTTCCTTTCTTCCTCCTCCTCCACCACAAACCACTCTGTCAGATTAATAGACATCTGTCAGATTAACTGAATTCACCAATGAGGCAAAGAAACAATTGATTAAGTACAAAAAGATTTAAAAGATCAGAACAAAATAAAATTTAAACAACATTAGAATGGCTAAAGAAATTAAACGGTATCCAAGAATAAGAATGAATCCATTATACCAGACACTGACTAACCCTTAAAAATCTGTATTTTAAGATGAATAAAAAAAAAAGGAAAAGGCTCAAGCAAGAAGAATAACGAATAACAAGAGAAAAGGTTTTATTGTGAAACATTTAAGACATTTAATCTAGAGCAGTCTAGGTCTCATTCCAAAGGCATATCAGGAATTGGGGTACTAGGGCATTAAAAATAGCAGCGAAGTGCTCCAAAAATCTCAAAAAAAATTGAAAACCATCAATCTATTATCTATTTAAGGGAGGAAGAAGGCAAAGATGGGGGAGGAGGGCATAAAAGACCCACCCTAACAGATTATTCAAGGTTCCTGGAAGGATTCCCCAGACTTTTCACACAGGAAACAGACTTCAAGTATGACAGGACACAAAACCTAAAAACTAGACTCTAGGAAGTCACATTCCTAATAAAACAGGTATTTTCCCACAAGAAATGTCCAATGAATTCCCTACCCTAGAAATCCTATTAATTTATCGTGAATGGTTTAAGGTGATTCTACCTAGAAGTAGATGCCAAATTAGATGCCCTCCTCGGGTCAAGTCCCTTCCAATTCTTAACTCCATGATAATTAAAGTTTTAAAGAGCAAACGAAAACACTAAGTCAGCGTACAAATAAGAAACAGTGATTCCGCCTACGGCCATACGACCCTGTACACACCTGATCTCATCTGATCTTGGAAGCTAAGCAGGGTCGGGCCTGGTTAGTACTTGGATGGGAGAAACAGTGATTCCAACCACAGTGCACTCATTCCAAATCCCCTTCTGCCCCAGTCCTTCAGTGCCACTGGGCACACAGGCAAGCAGCACATAGCAGGGAGTGGTGCAAAAGGAAGACACCTAGATCATAAGACAGAAAAGCTGGAGTTTTGTCTCTACCATGCAGGAACAAGCTCTGCAACTTTGGACAAGTTATTGTGGGCAATAACTCAGTTCTCTCATCTATAAAATGAGGGGACTAGGAATCAAATAATCTCTAAATCCTTTTCTCTTCTAGAATTCTTTGACTTATCGTCAGCAATTCTCTTCCAAAACTTGTTCCTCCCTCCACGCCACCCAAAGAAAAATGAATAAGATTATCTTAACGCGTTGTTCTATAATAAAAACCTCCCAAACAAAGGAAGACGTCTTTTAAGCACATGATACAACCAACTTAAATGAACTGAATTTAGTCATTCTTTCTCTTTTGTCTATACCAGTGGGTTTTTAAGTATGTTCCCTGAGCTTTAAAGAAGTTAACTCAGGGACCGGGCGCTGTGGCTCACACCTGTAATCCTAGCTCTCTGGGAGGCCAAGGCGGGCGGATTGTTTGAGCTCAGGAGTTCGAGACCAGCCTGAGCAAGAGCGAGATCCCGTCTCCACTAAAAATTAGAAAGAAATTAATCGGACAGCTAAAAATATATAGAAAAAATTAGCCGGGCATGGTGGCGCATGCCTGTAGTCCCAGCTACTTGGGAGGCTGAGGCAGAAGGATCCTTGAGTCCAGGAGTTTGAGGTTGCTGTGAGCTAGGCTGACGCCACGGCACTCTAGCCCAGGCAACAGAGCCAGACTCTGTCTCAGAAAAAAAAAAAAGAAATTAACTCAGAAAGCCAATAGGAAGGGGGAAGGGAGAGAGAGGGCAGGTGAGAAGAAAGCAGAATAGATGTGGCTCAAGCACCCAGTCCATTTCAGTCAAAGCTGTCTTCATTTGACAAAAGTAGTTCTAAGTATCTCAATAGGGAATAAGTAAGTACTCTTACTATTTTTCAGGGCGCTGGCAAATTCTGGGCCACCTCTGTCCTTGAAAACTGGGAAAACATCTGGTTGAGGAAGTTGGTTGGTGGTCAACAGAGCTTTTTGTAGTTTGATCCTTCCTTCCAAGAGCTGGTCCCACAGTGCTGAGAAAGAAAAAATAATCCCATCCCTCAATTATAAAGTCTTCCAGGGGGTGCGGAGTGGTGGAGAGACAGGAAATCATACCAGTCTCTAAGCACCACAGCTTCTATCAGTTTTATGCCATGGAAACAAACATTCTATCATAGGAAATAAATTCAGTATCTTCGAAGCAAGTATTTGCTACATGAGAGCAGGAATGCTAAAACCCAAGGAGAAGAGAAAACACTCTTCTCTTCGATCTCTCACAGTTGCGGGAAGTACTAGAGCAGAACCGGCTAAGCAGCTCAGTGCAGAAATGGCTGGCTAAGCATAGAGGAATGGGGCTTTAGGCCTCTGGGTAAGTAGGGCATGTCACAAACTAATTGGAAGGAAACAGGAGAGACAGAACAGACAAAAACAAACAAAAAGTAGACCGAATGCAGATACTTTGAAGAATAGGTAGTCAGCAAAACCATGTACAAACCTATCTGGTTCTTCACAGCTCTTCCTTTCTCCACTTCCTCAGAAACTTTGACACTGGAGAAGGTCATCACTACACCGTCGTCTTCACTGCTCCTGTCTCCGCCAGCTCTGCCTTCCTCACTCTCGCCCTCCAAGTCTTCCTCACTGTCCCCTTCTTCCATGCCACTCTCCTCCTCTTCGTCTTCCTCCTCCTCACTGCTCCCAAGGTCATCCATTCCCTCAGTAAATTTCTCAAAGTCACTGATGTTCTGGACACTGAAGCCCAGTGTTTCTGCAGAGCGGCTTCTGCTCTTCTTCCTCCAGGCCAGACTGCTCTTGCCATCATCACCACTGTCCTGTTCCTCAGCGGCACTCAGGTCATCCTCGTCAGATTCCTCCAGACCCAGGCCCTCTGAATCTCCATCTCCAGACCCTTCCTCATCAGATATTTCCTTCTCTGAACAAGAAGGGAGGGAAGAAAGAGAAAAATGGGTGTTACCTAAAGAAAAATACCAGGCCATATCTTTCATCTTAACGAAAGCACTATGGCACCTTTCAGGGGGAAAAACATGTATTATTGTATCCAATTCAACAAATATTTATTACACATCTACTGTCTCTAAAATGCTAAGGAGGAAGCAAAGATGAATAGAACATGGGCCCTACCCTACGAAAAGTTACAGTGGGAATGACAGACTCACAAAAACTACAATTCAAGAAAGAATTAAAGGTGCTTTGACAAAATTTCTCCCTCCTGTTGGTTATCGAATTTCAATAACTCAGAATATTTTAACTGTGGGGCAAGTGACTTTAAGCAAGGCTACATATAAGGAAGAGGTAGTATTTGGTCTGGACCTTTACCAGTTAAGATTTCAACTGGTGTTTGGATTACCAGTTTTCCCAAACCTGCATCTGAAAAAATGTATCTCTGTCAAAACTGTGCACCCTATTTACTAAATATTTATTAAGCACTCATTATAAGATAGGCTAAGGAAAGACAAATAGAATTTAATGCCTGCAGGGAGGAGTTCATAGTCTAGTGGGAGTGGTAGATATGTATACCAATAATTCTATTACAATGTCATTAATACACTGTATATAGAGAAGGAACCACCTAACTCTCCTGGAAAGGTGAGGGATGGCTTCATGTGGAGGAGCCATTTATAATCTTACTTATGAAGCAAAAGGAAACAGCTCATCAGACAGCCAAGGGGGAAGAAAAACAGGAAACAGCACTGGAGTGCAGAATGAACAAGAAGTGGTGGGACATGAGCCTAGACTCTAGAGAGTTGCTCAGGGACCCAATCAGGAAGGGTCGTATCTTCCATGAGAAGGAGTTTCAACTTGATCCTATAACAGAGTGCTAGTTAAGGCTCCTGGATTTATTTATGCTTAGCATCTCTCTCGATACCTGGAGGTTTTTTACTATTTATTCAACCTATTACATGGTAGACCGTAAAAGCTCCATATACTGCAAGCATGATTATTAGATACAGTGATCAATTGCCAATAACATCCTTCAATAAAATAAAGATTTTATGAAAACATGATGGGTCTTCAGTACTTCTTTACAGAGGTATAAACTTAAGACACAGATAAAACTGTCAAAAATATAAACACAAAAACTACATACAAAAACAGTTAACAGAAATAATCCATTCAATTCTTCAATGTGTGCCAGTTCTTCAGATTAAGAAACATTCATACAGAGTAGTAGTTAAGAGTGTAGATCTTGGAGTCAGATTGTCTTCATTTAAATCCTGGCTCTTCCACCTACTAGCTATATGACCTTGAGCAACTTAACCAATTTGCCCCTCAATTTCCTTATCTGTAAAATGGGGATAAGTAATACCAACCTCTTGGACTACTGGGAGGATTAAATGAGATGATACATGTTAATGACAATGGCGATAACATTTTTTGAGGACATACTGCGTCCCAGGCTCTTAGAACTTAAATTATAGAGCTAAATACAGTGCCTGACACATGGTAAGAATGCAATAAATATTATCATATTGGTCTCATGATTGGTTCCTTTATCAGTCTCTAGGCAAAGAATATGAAACGAGCTTATCAGGAGCTCCCAGAACTACATCAAGGACTAAATCATAGATATCATAGCCTGAATGCTAGTTCCTTTTATATTATCTGTGGATTCTTAAACATGACACTCTGACCTCTCTAAAGGAAAACAAATCACATCCTCTCAATAATCACCACATCTGGCCCCTTCTTCCAGCCTAAGAAACTTACAATTCTTTAAAACTATAAGCTTACATCCTCCAAACTCTCTTGCAGGGAAAGAAGAACAGATTATGATATTTTTATAATGGCAAAAAGTGAGTTTCACAAATAACTAATATTATACAGTGATTCAATGCAGGCCTGAAAAACTGAAGGAAAAAGGTCAAAATTCAAGAGCAGCATGCTCATCAGACACAATGCTTTGTCAATACATAGCCCTCTCCGATACCCACTATGCACTGCCTTTTTCATTCCATTTTAGTGTGAACATAAGGATTATATAGCAACTTAACCACTCTTGGCTTTAGATTCCTTATAAAGTGAAATGAAGTTACCTCTACGGCCCTTTCTACTACCAAATCAATGGCCTCTTCTACAGTAATAGGTAGGGCACAGAGACTAATCTTGCAGATACCATCCAGAAAAAAAAATTTTTTTTAATCCTAAAAAATTAGGTAAGAAAAGAGTTCCATACAAATATGTCTACTCACCAGATGAACCTGGCAGAGTCTGCTCCCAATGGTCTGCTTTCCAAGCTTTTCTAGAGGTGGTCTTGCCAGAATACCTTTCATCTGTGTCCAAGAGGGAGGCTGATGCCAGTTTTCTAATGCTACCCACTGCCAGGAAATCACCTTCCCCATCTTCCCCTTCATCAAATCTGTCAATCACTCTCGCAGCAGTGGCTGTTGGAGGAGGGGGAAAAGTAATCAGAATCTGCAGGTTAGAAGGAACTTTAATGTAAACTTCGTTCAACCCTTTCAACTTATACTTGAATGTCCTCTGTAAAATCCCCATCAACTTCCAAGAACAGGAAACTCATTACCTCCCAAGGTAGAACACTGTCTTATTGCTGTTTCTGAACAGAAAGCTGACTCCCTGCATCTACTAGTGGGATATATTTCTAAACCTTGGATCATATAAAACTAGTCTAATTCCTCTTCCATGTGTGACAGTCACTCCAATATCATAATAAGATCAGCCATCATGTTCTGTCCTCACTCTGTCCCATCCCTCAGAGAGTTTTCCTCACTTATCCTGGCTAAACAGCCCCCAGTTCCTTCAAATCATATTCCTAAGACACGGTTCGGCACTCACATTTATCCCTCATTCTCCCTTCCGCACATTTCTCTGACTCATGTCTAAAGCAGGATTACTCCCAGCTAGACCTGGAACATCAGCTTATAGAACAGCAGTCCCAGTCGTCAGCCCCTGAGCAAGTCTCTTGAGACCTTAAAGAGGACTAAACAGCACCAGAGAATCCTACTTCTTCATTCTCCAAGTTACTTCTTAGGGGCGACCAAAGTGAAAAACAACAACAAAAAAAGACGGCAGTTCCTTTGCCTCCGTTCTAACCAAACACCAGTAAGATAACTTCCAACTTGCTACGAGACTCTTTAGCTCCCTCCAACAGCCCTCGACCAAGTTAACTCGAAGACCAGCAGCTCCTTGCCTGAGTCCTCCGTCTGTTCAGCCCGAGCACCAAGTTTAAAGTGCGCGTAAAAAGACGCCGAAGCCCTCCTCCCGAGCACGGGAGCAACCCTAGCGGGCGGCAACTTTCCTCTGCGCAACGAGAAAGGCAGTAGGCCAGGCGGCGAGGCCCGGCGGCCGGGCCCTCACACGCCGCCCGCGAGACCCACCAGGCCTGCCCCAGTCAGGCCTCACCCTCCTCCGGGTCGGCCTCAGGATCCGCCTCGCGGGGTCGTGGGTTCAACAACTGTTCCAGCTGCAGAGCCAGGGGCTGCGGCCCCGCCATCGTCACCAGGTCTCAGTCCGCGCTGCGCGCGTGAATGTGCTCCTCAAGCCCCGGCCCAGACGCTCTCTCCCAGCCGGGTCCACTATCCCCGACACCAACTCGCAACACAGTCAAGGCACGCGAGCAAGCCGCCGTTCTGCTCCGGGCCGGCAACTTCCGGGAGAAGCGCGCCGGAGGGGGCGGGGCCTGCGCGTCACTACGGGCGTTGCTAGGATGAAGGCGGAAGCGCGCAGAAGGCTTAAGCCTGGGGACTGTAGCAGTCCGAACGCGCGTGCGCGTGCGTTGAAGGGGCGTGCTTTGAGACGCGGGAGCGCGCGGGAGCACGTGACAACTTCTGGCGTAGAGAGGAGCTTGCGATGCGCGCGGTCCGTGTGCTTTTGCATAAAATGTGACTCAAGATTTGTGCGAGATTTGTTTAGGAATAAAGCGTAATGTAGCCGGGGCCCACAGTGGCTAATTTGGGAAGGAGGAAAGAGTAAGGGGGAAGCTTTTCAAACCGCGGGTGCACATTCGGGCACTTACAGACTGCGACCCAAAACAGGTTTCACATTTCACAAATTAGAGGTGTCTGGGGCCAAGCACACAGCCCCCGACCTTTGGCGGCCAGGATTTGGGAATCCTAGGTCAGGAATATGCATGTGTAAGTGTGCGGCGGGCTGCCAGCGTCTTTATTAATAGGAATACTTAAGAATCACCATGGCTGCACATAAATAAAGATCGTTTCTGTAGCTTCTCCAAATAGCCTTGCCTGAACAGGGAAAAGGAGATAGGGTGGGGATTACTCTACTGCACACCCCTCAGTATTGATATCTTTGCTGTTCAGAGATGAGGGCATACTCGGACACCTGAAACTGGTGCACAAATGCAGAAAAACTCAGGTCCACCGTAAAGGGGGTAGACTCAAAATATAAAGACTTAATAGGATAAATTTAATTGTACTCAGGCACACGGAAAGATATGATTCCTTTACATTCTCTTTCCTTCATCAAACATTCTCTGACTGCCCACTGTGTGGCAGGCACTGCTAGATAAGATACAAGATGAGTAAGTTAGATTCTCTCCCCATGATGATCAGCTTAGGGGGGCAGACAAACATGTAAACAGAAACTAAAATAAGGGATGATAAGTGTGAGTACAAAATGATCTATCCCTCCAGTATCTGCTGGAGGTCACCTGTAGAGACCCAGAACCCCCTAAACAGAAACTGCCTCAAAAGGATCCAGAAAAGAGACACTAGTGGTGCACGGTGGCTGTGCCTCTTTTTGGATACAGCCCAGATTAGCTGAATCCTACAGCTGAGAAACTAGGGAACCCTCAGCTCCCCAGTGTTTCCTGTGGAAGCCTAGGGAAAAGAAGATCCCTGACTGTCACAATCTTCATATGCCCTTAGGGTCAAGAACAATGAAAGGACACCACTTTAGTGTGGCCTGTCTTATGTCCCATGTGGCTCTTGAAAAATGAAGACAAGGGATGCAGAGGGGCAGGAGAACCCCTCTTAAGGCAAACCCTCTTAGGGGTGGAAGGAAAAGAATGCCAGACTAGCTAGAGGGCTTGGGTGAAGAAAACTGCTTTTTACCATCGGTAAGAGAACTCAGGCTAGTCTGAGAACAGATTTTGGTTTTTGTTTTTAAACATGTCCTCTATAATTGCAGTCTTGTGCCTGCATCCAGGCATCCAGAGCAAAAGTGTGCTCCTTAGGCCTAGGCAACGTGCCATTGCCCTGAGCTTCAAAGGACAAAAATGTTTCTCCCATCCCACATTTAGGAAACTACCTCCCCCAATCCTCCTCTCTTGCTATTTTGGGCACTAGCTTAGAAAGCTGGCCTTCAAGGTAAAGAGAAGAGAGAAAAGGGAGAGGGAGGTGAGGCAGTGCAGAGACTACCTCTAAGCTGTCATGCAAACAGGACACTGCTGGCCAATTTGGGGGCTGTGCTGGGCAAACAGTAGAAAATGCAGTAGACCTGTTTACCTATTCTCCCTTCCCTGTCCTGGTCCCTACTGACTAGGGAAGCTGTTTTAGCAAGGAATCAAGACCACTCAACTACTATTGTCACACATCCCAGGGCCCCCAAAATGCTTCCCCTGCCTTCTTATCCCATACTGGAGGTAGGAAGAGGACTGCAGGAATGGAGGAAAGAGGAAAGAATTCTAAGACTCAAGATGCAACTAAGAGAAGTTGAGGTACAGGACAGGGGAGCAAACTCTCAAATGCTGTCTCTGGGGGCCCCTCCCTACCTGCCTTCTAGTGTCTTGAGATGATGGGGGAGGGGTTTCCTGATGGGGATAGGAATGGAGCTGGAAGATGGACTGTGGGAGGGATAGACTAGACTATACCTGTCTAGAAGAAATCTCAACCTGTGACTGCTTTAGAGATGAGAGCAGATGAGAGGAGCAGGGAAAGCAGTCCCCAAACAGAACAGTCCTCTCCAGAGAAGGCTGGAGGGTCTCCCAGTTCACAGCCGTCTGCCATGTAAGGGCTGCAAGGTTGCAAGGTGGCAAGCGGATATAGGAATAGCAGAGGATGGGCTTGGGTGACTTTAGACCCGCTCCCCTAGTTGTCCCAGACAACTGTCTGTTCACTTGACCAGAAGTTTCAAGAGTTTAGGAAAACCAGGTTGGATCTGCCTCTTTTTTCGGACGCCATCAACCCCCAGGTCCCAGACCCCTGGCAATGCCTGTCCGGCTCTCCGTGCATTCCATTTCCCCACTATGTCTCACCCCAAAGCAGGCCCCCAGCCTCGGCCAGCCCAGAGAAGTTGGGTGGGTGAGCTTCGGCTCCCTCGCCAGAGCAGATGGCGGCTCCCGGCTGCCGGAACCCTGAGGGCAGGTGGCGGGAGGTACAGAGGTGGCCGCTTTAAGATGGCCGCGGGGAGAAGCCAGGCTGCCAAGCCTGGCCGGAGACGAGGCTGCCCTCCCGGGCGGGCGGGAGGGGACCACAGCGGCCCTTCCCTCCGGCTCCCTCGCCTCTCCCGGGAGCTCCGCATAGGGATGGTGCGGCTCTTCCCCGCACCTCAGGACCAGAAGTGGGTAACGGGGCAAGGATGGGGAGGAGAACGGTCCCTGACATTTCCACACGTCCTCCTCCCGGGCCTTGGGCTGCAAATTTGACTGCGGAGCGTTGCCACCTGTTCGGGTGTTCGCTGAGATTCAGAATACCGCGCCGAGGGGAAAGACTGCGCGCTGCCACGGAGTTAGAATTGAATCTACACCGTGTGCCCAACTCTAAAACGCTTCTTTATCAAACACCCCGATTCCACAATAAAGCTGCTAAATAATTCAGCAGCCTTGATAGGAAAATGCAGCTTCCCAATGAGCATAGTTCAGTTAAATGAATGTCTTTAAAGGGGGGTGGGGAGTGGTGGCTATAATAAATAAGTTAGCTATGATTTAATGTATATAAGTGCTAAAAGGGCAAAAATAAGCCGATCCAGTGATTGCATATAAAGCAGATAAAGAAATGTGCTGCATGCAGAGGCTAGGAGTTTCGAAAGTCTCCCTTGTATTTCATAAATTTTTATTTCTGAAAGAACATTGCCAGATTCCTTCCTGATAGTTTCCCCCCATTAGATAAGCCATCATATGGATGCAGTGAAATATTGCTTATTTTAAAGCCTTCTCTGCAGGAAAGATAAACTTGGCGGTGTCTTAACAAAATATGAAAACAGCACTGGAAATTACATACCATTTAATGTAAAACCTTTGATTTTTAAATAAGGAAATAAATAATCCAGACTGAAATCTAGGTGATATGGAAAAGAAATTCTGGAACTCTAGTATCGTCTGATATTAACACACACATATACCCACATATGAGTATTTCACAGTAGATAAAATATTCAAAAATTTTCCAAGTCTAATGAAGGCTTGGAAAGGATTGAATTACTTTTCAGAACCTATTGGCAACTCCCAGTTGATACTTGATTTCTATATTAGTTATTTTTGTTCATCTTTCGGAGAAACTTAATATGTGTCTTGTGCCAGACAAAATAGTTTCCTTCTAGGGAACTTCAATGTGACAAATACCATAAAACAACAATTTCATATCAGTTCTGTGAAAGGGATTAAAGTATTTCATTTCTAACTGTACTGTACATTCATTTTACGTTATCTTTCAAACCACCAAATTAGAAAGCAGGATTATCTACAGGAAATGAATTGAAACTGAAAAGGACCACCTCTAACTACATATTTACAAGTATCTGACATTCACAAGCCTGGTTTTGCCTGTGCAGGGAGATGGGGAGAAAAAACGCTTTGCAACTCATGTCTAATCACAGACCGGGACCACTTGTTTTTAGCCATGGATTTGATTTCTATTTCAAATTCTGTATTAACTTATCAGCAAACATCTCTTCAACTGTATCAGTTAAATCCACAGAATGCAAATCTGTAGTTAATAACAGCAGGAAGCCATGGAGAGAACCTTGGCTGGCATTAGCAAAAGGGTTCAGCCACAGCCAGGGCAAAAACAGATATATCACCCCAATCCTGCCTCTCCTTCCTCCTGGCTTCTGAGGGCCCATTCTGCTCCCCTTCAGGGCTCCCCTCTAGTTGTTGAAAACATCAAATAACACACCAATTATCTAAACATCAGATTTTCTATTTTTATTAAAAACTCACAAATTTATTCAACATGTTTTCTTTCATACAGTGAATGGTCTAATATGCACTGGAGGTCACACAAGCTTAGGTTTATTAGAACAATAAAAGACATATGAGAAATTTAATATATAAAGAAAAAAGTAGCAGCTGTTGACTGCATATTTGACCATAAAATTTAAATATTTTGGACTTTTATTTTAAAGACACAAAAATAAAACCTGTGTGGGTCTATATAAGTCATATTAACAACTCCATGAATGTTCAACAGGACTAAAAATTAGCAAAGATGTTTTTTTTAAACCTCATAACACTTTTTTTTTTTTTTTAACACTTTCTCAGGTTGCTGGTGCCAGGCACCTTTACAGTATTTGTGCTATAATTATTCTATTTGGCAACTGTCTGAATATCATGTTTTCTCTTTGCCTCGTGTAAACAACATCTTTTTACATACTAGCACAGTGAGCCGAAAGCCCTGCAAATCTGTCAGAACATCTATAGGAAAAGAAAAGGAACAATTTTGGTTGATTGCTCAAAACATTTTGTTTTTGAACAAGAGGTTTTCAAAACAGGATATATTAGTAAAACACTGAACTCCTGAATTTAACATTATACGTAAACAGTTGACTGTTTTTAGT